AAATACAGATTGACATTAACTATACAATATGAGAGATCATCAATACCAACATAGATACAGATTGACATTAACTATACAATATGACAGATCATCAATACCAACATAAATACAGATTGACATTAACTATACAATAAGAGAGGCCATCAATACTAACATAGATACAGATTGATATTAACTATACAATATGAGAGATCATCAAGACCAACATATTTACAGATTGACATAAACTATACCATAGGAGAGATCATCAATACCAACATAAATACAAATTGACATTAACTATACAATAGGAGAGATCATCAATACCAAAATAAATACAGATTGACATCAACTATACAATAGGAGAGATAATCAATACCAACATAGATACAGATTGACATTAACTATACAATATGAGAGATCATCAAGACCAACATATTTACAGATTGACATAAACTATACCATAGGAGAGATCATCAATACCAACATAAATACAGATTGACATTAACTATACAATAGGAGAGATCATCAATACCAAAATAAATACAGATTGACATCAACTATACAATAGGAGAGATAATCAATACCAACATAAATACATATTGACATTAACTATACAATAGGAGAGATCATCAATAACAACATAGATACAGATTGACATTAACTATACAATATGAGAGATCATCAATACCAACATAAATACAGATTGACATTAACTATACAATAAGAGAGATCATCAATACTAACATAGATACAGATTGACATTAACTATACAATATGAGAGATCATCAAGACCAACATATTTACAGATTGACATAAACTATACCATAGGAGAGATCATCAATACCAACATAAATACAAATTGACATTAACTATACAATAGGAGAGATCATCAATACCAAAATAAATACAGATTGACATCAACTATACAATAGGAGAGATCATCAATACCAACATAGATACAAATTGACATTAACTATACAATATGAGAGATCATCAATACCAACATAGATACAGATTGACATTAATTATACAATAGGAGAGATCAACAATACCAACATAGATACAGATTGACATTAACTATACAATAGGAGAGATCATCAATACCAACATAGATACAGATTGACATTAACTATACAATAGGATAAATCATCATTACCCACATAGATACAGATTTACATTAACTGTATAATAAGAGATATCATCAATACCAACATAAATACAGATTGACATTAACTATACAATAGGAGAGATCATCAATACCAACATAGATACAGATTAACATTAACTATACAATAGGAGAAATCATAATACCCACATAGATACAGATTTACATTAACTGTACAATAGGAGAGATCATCAATACCAACATAAATACAGATTGACATTAACTATACAATATGAGAGATCATCAATACCAACATAGATACAGATTAACATTAACTATACAATAGGAGAAATCATAATACCCACATAGATACAGATTTACATTAACTGTACAATAGGAGAGATCATCAATACCAACATAAATACAGATTGACATTAACTATACAATGAGAGAGATAATCAATACCAACATAAATACAGATTGACATTAACTATACCATAGGAGAGATCATCAATACCAACATAGATACAGATTGACATTAACTATACAATATGAGAGATCATCAATACCAACATAAATACAGATTGATATTAACTATACAATAGGAGAGTTATTTAGTTATTTCATTAATTCAAATTGAGCTCCACTACAAAAATAGGTGTCACCAGCACGATAGGACATTCTCGACCTACTGGAAAACTGAATCGAGAAGATTTATTCTTTACGATGATTATCATCTATTCACCGAAATGGGTAGGCTTAAAGTGAATTGAACTACCATTCCAACCCTAGTGGTACATTGTTGGATGTCGTCCCAAGTAAGAATTGTCACATCACTTACTATTTTCTCTGTCGACAAGGATTGTCGTTGGTAATATGGTCTTTGCAAACTTCACCCATCTAAAATGTATTTTTTCTTCAACTGGTTGGTGGTCTCCAATTAACGCTCTGTACAAAATTTTGAATTTAGTGAGTTGGAAGCCTATTGGAATTCTATATCTGGGTCGAAAATCTTTGAAATTATTGCCCACTATTACCCTCAATCTAAAATCTTCAGCATATATTACTTTGGTAATAATATAAATTTCTTTCGTATGGAAGTCATCAACTGAAAATGAAAGAAACATATCGTTTGATCAAACTGATCAATTACATACATATTTTTTAATTATTGTATTCAATATAACATACTTTTGCAATGAACTGCACAATCTACATGTAAAGGGGCACAACTCTTTCGTAAAAATCCAAACCAACAATAAGCACGATTGTCAGTAGTATTATAATGTGTACATTTTTCTATATCGCTCTCCATTGATGTATTGAGCACTACTTTAACAGTGCAGACATTTTCATAATAATATTAATGACAATGCATGACAATTAAGAGTTAAACTATACATTATCATATTAAATCCTAGTGACTACACATTGAACTTACAATAAGGAGTTAAATGTATACGTTATTATATTAAATCCCTGTGTCTACACAAGTTACTTACAAAAAAGAGTTAAACATTCACACTATTAAATACTGGTGACTACACGACGAACAATAATAATGAGTTAATGAAAGTATATATTATTACTATAAACCCTCATGAATACTCAAAGAACTTATAATAATGAGTTAAACGTCTCCATTATTATATTAAATCCCACTGCTTAGACAATGTACTTACAAAACTTTAAAAATTTACATTATTATATTAAATCCTGGTGACTACACGAAGAACTAATAATGAGTTAAATGTATATATATTATGATAAACTCTACTTAATACACAAAAAATAAGGAATCAATCAAATGTACATATTATTATATTAAATCCTAGTGACTATACGCAAAGAACTAACAAAATGTACTTAAATGCATAAATTATAATATTTAATCCAAGTGACTATACAAAGAACTTACAATAATAAGTAAGATGTATATTTATTATGATAAACTTTAGTGAATACTTATAGAACAATAAGGAGTTAAATTTATATTATAAATTATATATTATATATATATCATATATTATTATAATAAATCCTAGTGACTACAAAAAGAACTTACAATAACGAGTACATTTATATTGAATCCAAGTGACTACGCATTGAACTGAAAATAAGAAGTTAAATGTATTCATTATAACATTTAATCCTAGTAACTACAACAAGAACTTACTATAAGGAGTTAAATGTATTCATCAAAATATCTAATCCTAAGAACTTACAATAAGGTGTGACGTCAACCATAATGTCTTGAGGTAGATGATGAAGCTGATACTGAGATAACCCTGTAATATGAATAGCGAAAGCTTTCCTGTTATGGGTGCCGAATAACGCTGTTACACGACTAAATGGGGTGTTAATTTTAACTGGATGGGTTAGCTTGAAACTTTCATCAATGGACACATCTGATCGAATCATTTCTTGTAAGACATCAACAGGTACTGCCTTATTCTTCATTCGGCATAGTTTCTGCAACACGTTTTTTCTTTTAACCATAATGACACCATTCAAATCATAACGATCCGCTTCTGATAAAAATGGTATTGGTATCATATGTTCACCTATTGAGATACAGAAAAGAAGCCACGAACTTTTCAGAATACAGGCCGGCATAATGATCCGAGCATAACAGTTAGTTGTTAACACTGTCATTTGATTAATTCTAGAAGATGGAAGCGCAAAAGTGGTCAACTACCAACTTGAATAATTTCAATAAAATTCAACAAACTCTTTCCAAATCAATTGTATCGTTTTAAATTAATTCGATGCAATTCAATTTCACAAATCTTCAAATCGTTGTCATTGTCCTCGGAAAGTCGAAGATATTGAAGAATTTAATATTGAAGAATTTAATTATGAATAATGTAGAGCTAGTGTTAATTCCAAAGTTTACTTTTATTTCAAGTCGTCTTACCCAGAACTTCAGCTGCAAGATCATCTCTAACAACCTCCCAACATTTCTGTGTGTCACAGGCCTTAATCTTCTTTACTACGCTAGAATCCAGCATAAAACCTCGATGGTTGGACATTTTTCTTCCTTTTTCTTTTTTTTTGAGTGAATTTATTGCGCTTTGACTTTTAACCTACTAATTACAATGGCTCCCCATCATAATATATAACGTCATAGACTAAGAAGCGTCATAATGATCGAATACAAACGCAAGCTTTTCTGTTTCTGTGACAGTGAATGGGAATCTAACGGGAAAGAGTAACTTACTGAATCTACGTAGGCTACATGTATTTTAATATTTCTGTATTAGTTAACTTATACCTCAATTTTTAAAGAAATCTCTTACGAACTGCGATCGTTTTTCATCAATATTGCTAGTGTTAGTAGCGAGGGCATGCTTATCCTTCAAAATCACTGACGACGGCAGCAACTACAAGTGTAATGCAGTTTTTAATTTTTCAGTTGGAGTCTTTTGAAATAAATGGCTCTCGATATAACGTCAATTATGCATGATTTTTCATCCAACTAACCACTTGTAAAGGGGAACAGTCGACATTTTCGGGGATTGATTTGGGTGTTTAGTGTGTTAATAGTCTGAAAAAGTACTAAAATGAACGAAAATCGCATAATCCCTTCAAATATACCTCAAACTACAAATTTAACTGTCTATTCATATAGGCCTATATTTCTATATATGGCATAGTCTCACTAAAATTAGTGTCGAATTTTTAACTTTCAAACGTGAATTATTATGGATACACAATGATTTGAATGCTCAAATTTCGACGATAGTTGTTAACTATACTATTATTATGTAAGCTAAAAAAAAATCTGAATTCTGAAACTAAGGTATGATTGGTCGAAACGGATAGTGAAAGTGCTTCTTCAAAGATGTAAGGCTTTGTCTGGGGGTATAACTTTGTTAACAAAATCAATATTGTCTCTGAGATATGATCGATATACATAATCCTGTATACAGCATCATATCTCTGAAACTCAATCTTGTACAACCTCGAGGTTTTCAGTTCATCACATTAATTTGTAAGACAAATTTTTAATGTTAAAAGGATTAAGTGGTTTCTTTACGAAGCGATATTTAAACCATTGTTTAGCACGCACGGTCAATTCACACACCTGAACATTATTTATAATATCTGGCAAAAAACACGTTCAACTCATTGTAACCGTTGTCTATTACTCTTTCAATCGCACCTCTTTTACTTTTCAAACACACAATAAATTTGAATTGTCAACAAATTAAGCCTGTTGGAGTTGGGGTAATGGCAATAAAATTAGACGTGTTACCATCTTCAAGACACATTGACAAATACTCGTAGAATTTGACCATGTTAGTTATCTGTGATGTTTGGTAAGCTGGGGTGAGATCTAAGTAACATAATAAGGATGTGTGTAACATCTTATAAGATTTTAGTCTGAACTAAGCTTGTATTCAGTGACGTATATAGGGTTTCTATAGCCAATATGATTACAGAAAGGTGAACTGTAATTAATTTAAGATTAGATCCCTTTTCTGTATTTTTCGACTCCATTGTATTGTAGAGCAATACTTGTCTTTTGGTTTCGCTATTCCACAATGCATGAATGTTATCAAGAAAACCTCATTAGAGCGGGACTGTGGTAAAAACTGGTTCGATTACAAAGGAGGCGGAAATATCAGAAAAAAAGGAACGTAACCGTAATTTCATTTAAAGAGACAGATTCGTCATCCGTTTGACACTGTCTCAGGAACGGATTTTGTAGCTAAGCTAATGGGTAATAATGCATACAGAATTAATTTAGGTAGAGGGTCAGCCAATTGTTGATAATTTAAACTTATTATTCATTGATAAAAGTGTTGCTATCATATAATTTCAAATTTTTAATCTTTTATTATTAAGTTTCGAGTTATTGAAACTGATAGAGCAGGGCACAATTTGTTATTTACACATACGATACATAGGTCACGACACACTAACAGTTTTATCATAAATTACTTGTCAAACCGCTTTAATAAATACATTATATTGTAACGAAGGTGGGATTATTAAATAAATACTTTAATCTCTAACTATTCTTAAAATATATTTTACAAGATTAATAATTTTTTTCTAATCTTGTGGATTGATATACATCAACTTGGTTTTCGGTACGGTAACATTGCTGTTTCAATGAATATGCAACTGATTTGTTGGAAATGAGACAGCAGACCAATACGACATTCAAGCAACATACATGTATCTGCGACGAAGTGATTATACCTAAATTGTTACGTTCAAAATACTTATGAAGAATCAATTGAAGAAGAAAATCAGATTTATCAAAAAGATAAAATATAAGGCTCAAAATGTCACGAAACTTTAGATTTCTCATTTTAAGGTTTAAAGTTTGTTTGGTGATGGAGTATATTTTCTATCGCTATTCGAAATGCTTGCAATAAGCAGATATGACAGGAATCAAAATCCATAACTGCAACTTTTGAAATGCACTTCAGGACACAAGAGTCATTTTAGCATCTGTTTATTTTGGAATTACACTACCACTTGGTGTGCTACTGGAATTTGAAGGGAAGATAAGCGGTAGCGGTTCTCACACATACACATACATATTCCGAACTAAAAATGGTTTTGTATCAATTCCAAGAATTCAAAACCCACCGACCGGAAGTTAACACTTTGCCAACTAAGATAATGCTAGTATCATGGTTCATATACATCGGATCGAAATCTATGAATTTGAAGATAAATAATCAGTGGAAGAAAACAGAAATAAGATTATTATATTGTTATAATTTGAAGAAAAATCCACAAATGTGATGCTATATTAATTAATCAATATGACCATAAGTACTATCAAATTGCGCAATAGTGTATAGCAATTGATACCAACTCCATAAGACAGAATGTGATGAAAAAAGCTGACCATCTGCTAGAGGTCAATTTTAGTGGATCGTTTCAGAAAAAAACTGATATATCTAAAGTTCTGTCCACTTTTAAGTTTTTGATTATAATGAATATTATGAGATATCAGCCCATTTAGGCAAAAATCTAAGATTCTTTTACGTCATTTGCACGGTGAATTTCGGTAAAAATAAACCACAGTTCTGATCATTGTCGGCGTGTGTAGATTGTAAATGTAGCGTATATCAATCGTAGAAGAGGGGCACCCGTCTGTTCCCCAAATCTTAAAGCGTTAGAGGACAGTGGTTTTAATTCAAATTGGTTCATTTGATTAAAACATTTTATTTCATAATTCATGAAATTACTTATCATAATGTAAGACAAATTGATGATGTTATAAAATGGAAATGGGAAAATCAAAGTAACTTAATATTTCAAATTGGTCGGAGAAGATCCTTAGACAAACTTTAATCTGACTATTTTTCTACTCCATTTCGTCTCTAACTAATGTCTATTAAGACAAATTTCATGAGTGAATGTTTAGAGACATGATAAATAATACCAAGTGATATTGTTAATAGAGAGAAAGAAAATAAATACACATTAAAAGCTGAAATACAATCGGTATTATTCACGCTTAATTACATCCAATACTCGTAATGGTCTTCATATGAAAGAAAAGTATTGCGTCTAATGGGTGCCAAGCTTGTAATATGCTTGTATAATTTAATAAGTGGTTGATATGTGACGTGCTTTAACCCTACCGCATCTCATCATCTCCATCTCAGTTACTTGACGTGTTTTAACCCAGTCTTTACCCCTTTTAATACGACCTCTACTTTCCCTTACATTACCAATCAACAATACAACATTTTCTTAATTTGCTGCCTCCCAATGTCCACTTGTTATTTGATTGTCTATTTGGTTAGTTACATTTCCGTCTTTATAACTGACTGGAAACAGGCAATGAATTACTTTGTAAGTTTGATCCGTTTCTCGTTGATGGCTTTCTAGCCAGAGTGAATTAAGTCATTACTGGCGTGTCAGAAAGAAGTTCCAGTTTAATTAATTAGACTAATATAAAGAGTCAATATTTGGTTGGCTGAGCCATTGTTACAAGCATCGTGCTGACAGCCTTCTATTTAAATCTTGCATTGATTAAATCAACACTGATGTGTTGTGGGATATGATCAATATAGTTTAATAATCACATCGCTTAAATTGATGCGTTAATTAGAGTTAAAGCCCTTTCTTCAATCACTTTGTTATCCAGCTAGTTTTCAATATTGACTCTATTGGTAACATTTTCTCAATTTCACATAATTGACTTGGTAATCGAAACCGTTCAATTTTCAAATTGGCTATGACACACAATTATATTCAATGTTGAAAAGAATACATGGATTAAGACCAGAAGTGTCTTATTTAGTTAGTAGTCGGTAAGTTTATGTACATTATGTATATTTCTGAGTCTCTCAGCAGCACAACAGTCCAACAGGATTTGATGGTACAGTAATATTAATAGCCGAGGGAGTTGATAATTAGGACCTTCATGCAATAATAACTGTAAGGAGAATATAAATCATGTTTGCCTAATATTTGGCGGGACGTTAAGCGACAACAGTTTCGGCAACTGACAGTTCGGTCCGCATTAGAAGAAGCATTTGCTAATTTTCATCTCTGGGTTACGTGGAAAGAAAGAACACAATGTAGGCACAAAGGGTTGAACCATAAAATCACATGAATATATTTTCTTATGCTTTATTGAACAACTAGTAGGCAATACTTCGGGGAGCATGTAGTCTTTCGTTCCTGAAACAACTAGTAACCTGTACAAAACTCATCAGTTGTTCTGGAACCAGATTAAACGCTTTAATACAGTTTGGATAGTTTCGCAAGCGAGGTAGGGAATGCTTAATATTCCGGAACAGCTGATGCAACTGTGCAACACGGTTTGTCCACTTGACATCCCCTTCGGAAAGTTAAAATTTAGCTACCATTGGTTATCCGAATGTATATATCAAGATGCATATGAGAACTCCACAAAAATACAAAAAAAATACATGTTGGCAAGGTCTCCACTTAAGGAGATGATGCTCCTTCCTTTTCCACTGTAAAGAAGTGGACTGCGGAATTCAAACATGGTAGAGAGAGCTTGATGATGACTCGCCTCCAAGAAATT